TTCTACTAGCTCACATAATAAATGAATGGATGAATGAATGAATGAATGAGATTTCAAGTATAAATTTACCTCGAATAAACATGATTAACGTTTGTCAATCTTGAATCTATTTTTCGAATTGAATAATGTTTCTTATTGCGAACAAATATATTTGATTTTGTATGAATACGCATATGTTTGAATCGAATACGACAAAATATTCGATTTGATTTATATTTTGATAGGTCAAATTGACAACGCGTATAATATTTACAAAATTTTAGGTTTTATAGTAATGGCACTAAAATCAAGACTTTAGCAAAAAATGATCTACCATCCTTCTTATACCCCCAGGCTTGGCTAATTTTAATTTTGACGGAAAATCTTGAATTACTCGTTTTTAAAAATCGGTTCAGGTCTGTTTTACACTCTAGATAGGTTCAAGGTTAAAAAAAATTAACGGAGTTCGGTTTAAAGTATAAACTCCTTATTTGAGTTAATCTATATCAGAGACCCGCAGAGATACCAATTGCACGGCTCGGCCAGTATTTTTTTTCAAAAATTTTTTCGGCCCGGCACGGTTAATTTAAAGGTTTGGTTTAAAATATACTGCCCGGCCGGATATTTTTTTAAGAAAAATGTCACGCACTGCCGGCCCGGTTATATTTTAAAGAAATTGTAGCTTACAAATCTCTGATCCTTTTACATAAAATAATAAAATTATTTATTAATAATCTGAGGTCTTACGCATTTTTTTAAATTAACAGTAATTTTAGTTTTTAATTTTATTTTTTTAATTTTAAAATTCAGTATGCAAGCAAAAAATTGACGGACTAAATAGTTTTAAAAAATTAATAATGAATAACTTACAATTTTAAAACACTATCATTCATAATTTGAGAGTGCAAAAGTAAAGAGTTTTTTTTAATGATTAACTATAAATTTCTTTTCTACTTGTTCAAATATTTATTTTTGAGATGCTCTTACAATTACAAAATTGATCGTAAATAAAAAGATGTGTTCAAGAAAGAATCTATAATGAGGTCTTTAAGATCTCAGCCAGATATTCTTAACTCTTTGTAGGGTATAAATGCATTTTTTTTGACACCATAATTTTAAAATGTCAAATTTCTGCTACCGGCGCTAGCTACTTCATCAGAAAACCACCAAAATATTTTAAAAATATTAAATAATATTTATTTAAATCATTCCAACTTTACAACCCCCAAGTTATATAATATCGATATTTGAAACAGGAATTAATCGTTAGCTGACATCTACCGATGTTTAATTATTATCTTTTTGATGATTGAAACATATTAAATAAGATAAAAGATGCAATCAAAGAAACCTTCCCTTCATTTAATTATATTTTTAAGATTGCTATATGCTAGAGATCTGCAAAAGTAGGCTCGGCCCGGGTTTGGGCCTATTTTTTAAAAAAGAAATAGAGTTCAGTCCGAGCCGGGCCTAATATTTTTTTAAAAAATCGGGCCGGGCCGGGTCGGGCTTTGGAAATTTTTTTTTAATACATCTAAATTCATCAATTTTATGTTGAATGTAAATTTCTTTAAAAAAAATTATATGCCTCCCTGATATGGCCGGTTACACTGTTTTTAGAGAAATATTAAGCTGAAAAATTATGAGCACCTTTTTTCCGACCTCATATGGTGATAGCCTTCTTAATGGTTTCCTGAGTTGGATTGAAGTTTTTTGGCCTAAAGTTTTAAATGAGTAAAAAAGCTATTGAACTGGACATATCAACGGTATTTGGTGCTATAGGAATTAATATGATGTTATTAAAATTTCTACATTTTTTTCCCCCGGGTCCAATAGAGGTGAGAAGAGAAAGGCGCAAGTATTTCAGTACACGTAGTCGCAGACTAGATAGATTGCATTACTTTAGGGCATGAGTCACGCCGTCCGTCTAGGTCTGGCATTATCTTCGGAGTCTCGGGTATAAGGTTTTAAATAAGGAAAGAATGTCAGCTGAGAGAAACCTGCCAATGATCGCGTTTAATTGCAAGGTGCCAAATGAAGTAGTGGGTATTGGTTAAAGTTGTTAATGAGGGGTGGCAACAATTCGGGGAAACGACAATTTTAGTCGACAACAAGTCGGGAGCTCTGATCTAATTAAGTTGCAATTTATTTAAACAAATAGATTTTTATATGGCATTTATCAAATTAAATGTCTTGGACAAAAATATCCAGGACAAAAAGACACTAGACATAAATACCCTTGAACCAAATGGCATGGGACAAAAATACCACAATTTTAATTTTAAAAAAATTAAATGCATAGAAAGGGGGGAAGGTTTTACAAAATAATTATTAATTTTTTCCACAAATAACTTCTTTACTTTAAAAAAAAATATTTAACTAACGATGTGAACCTACTGTGCATTTTTTACACAAATTTATTCTAAAAAAACGCACATATTTGGAGTATTGTGGGAAAGTTTGGATGTTGACTAAATGTATTGTTACGAGGCTCATGGCAAAGCCTGATCTGTACTAGGGTTAATCTAAGCATAAAAGTAGATTATGAGAAATAATTAATTTTTATTAAAACCCAAACCCACTACAGTTGTTAAATTTAATAGGTATTTTAGGGCTCTTGAAGAATACAAAGCAACCAATAACTATCTATTAGTTTTTAACTACGCTGTTCAGGCTAAGACCTGATATCAAGCTCATGGATGGCATTAGGAGTTAGCTTAGGGCTATGTAACAAAGATAAAAATTAGTGTTCTAATTATAGTAAATAAGGAGAAATGCTAATTTTATTTAGACACCAAACCCACTACATTCGGTAAAATAAAATCCAAAGATACTTAGGGCTGCTAAGCATCACGATACTGCCTATATGTTATTCGTTTTGTTTTATGATGTCCGAAAAGTGAAAACTAAATTTGAATAATTAACTTCTATCATTTTATCGAGCGAGAAATAATGGCCTAATATGAAAAGTTACATTTAATCTCATAATTTTATATTCGATAGTGAGTTTAATATGATTAAATATACTGATTTTATATTACAAATCACACATTATATCTCCCATACATTATATTTATATATTACCTTATTTACTTAGATTATTTTAAGTATTTTTGGAATGAAGACCCTTTATTTTCTATTTCTTTCATTACTATACTCTACTAAACACTTATATGGCTCGGGTGAAGTTCCACCCCTATATAGCTTTATATCTGGATAGGTTTTTTTTGGTATCCTTGATAAAACAAAATATCGCCATCATTTTTATTGAGGATGGGCCTTCATAATAATTCACGTACGCTCATTTTTGAGCAGGTCTATGACCAATGTGGATAAGATATTCCATAAGTAAATATTTTATTCTGTAATTCATATGCGAGTTATAAAGCAGAGTTGTTAAAGGATACTTTTTAAATGGATCTAGATACAGATACAACGTCTAAAATAATATCTAAATACAGATTATTTAATCAAAAATCTATCTAGATATAGATACCACATTTTTATATCTAGATACAGGATTTAGATACTTGTAGCCTGATCCTTTAACAACTCTGTTCATAAGACTTTTAAGTTTTTCGTTTATATATATAATGACTAAATTCGTATTAAAGCACCATTTTACTTTTTCATTTATATATATATATATATATATATAATTTTTGTCTTTTAATTTATCTTAATTTTTATTAATTAATAATTAAATACAAAATTTTTACCTTTCGTTTGGTACCAGACCAGTTACATTTGAAACAAATTTTTATCGAATTACGTGGTTTAGGCTAAGGCCAAATACTAAGCTCGTGGAGACCGCGTTAGAGGTTAGCTCAGAACTATGGGGCAAAGATAAAATTTTCGTGACGAGAAATAATACTTATTTTATTAGACACCAAACCCATTACGTTCGGTAAAATCTAGCACATACTTAAAAATTTGTGTAGAATAAAATAATATATGTTTTTAAATTCCAAAATTTATTAAAATTGGGCTATTTTTCTTCAGTGTCATTTTGTCCGGGATATCTTTGCGCAGGAAATTTATGGCCGGAATTTAAATCATAAGGACCATTGTTCGACCATCAATATGCCCATTAATTTGACAAATGCCATAATAAAATGATTTTCAAATAAATCGCAGCTTAATTAGATCCGCTCCGAATAGTAGCGTGCCGAGTTGGCGTGTAACCGGGGTAGTTACGCTTTGCACATATGGTAAGTGTGATAATGTCGCAACCTAATCGAGGCGAAGAGCGATCCAAGATTGTAACTCTCATGCCATTTGTATAAAATTAAAAATAATGAATTCTAAAAAATTGAATTTCATTTTTTTTGTTTTTTTTATAGGAGCATAATGGATTTTTAAAAAAATATGTAATTAAATTACTTAAGACTCTTTTTTTTAATTATAATTTGGTCAAAATTTTGAAAATATCATAAAATATTCCTTAAATCTCACTTTAAATAATAATTTCTTAAATACTTGAGATAGGAATTTGTAATTTCTATTATTAAATAAATACACCGAAGTCTTTTTTATAAAACAGGGTTCACAAACATTTTCAGCTTGGATTTTCTCCAGAAAAGGGTTAGGGTACGGTTCAGGAAAACTTTCAAAGAAAAAACCCTGGCAATCTGGCTAAGGCTGCTTTTGTAGTAAAACTGACATCCGTCCTTCAAAAGTAAATCTCATATAAATGTTACTAGTATGATCTCCTCAAGTCAATGTGATAAACACTTATAACATTTTTAATTAGATTGACTTTCGACAGAATCAGATGTCCACCGCCATTATAAGCAACCTAAATGACACAATCATATTAAATGAAATCATTATATTGAAACGCATTAAACTATACCTTTAAGTGTGGCTAAAAAAATGTTTTAAAATCTTATTTATTTTAAAATTAAAATAGTGAATTTAAATTTAATAAATAACAACTTAACATCAATCATATACTCATGTTATTTAATTTGTATAGTTGAAAATAATAATAAATATAATTCATAATGTATATACACAAGGAAGGTAAATTGATCGCAATAATTATGACATGATATAGATATACAATAAATATGACGATATTCGCAATTCGATTTTAAAATAATTATTTTTCGCGAATTAAGTATAATTCAATATATTTTGTTTTGGTAAATATAAAATTCAGCTTAAAGATGAGCTAGGGTGGCACTCGACTAACATGACCTCTCGATCCGTCCCCGCACCCTTCTTCTGGGACAGCACGACGTCTATCAAAACGTTTTTATGATAGCTGAAGCAATGGTTCGATATCTTTTCCTGCACTATGTCGGGAGAGTAAAAAGTTTCCTTGTAAGAGCACAGGTGACAAAACAGAACGAGAATTTGGTCAGGAGGGTTATCGTGCGTTTCCGTAGGATGGCTACCGCGGTCTATCCCAATATCCCGATTTGGTATTGGCTCACTCTCGGTATCCCTGATATCGTGGTGATTGCTTAACCCATTTAGATTAGATGGAGAGGGTTTACTAGTAGGAATAACACCGTTCAGTACTTTACGAGATTTTTGGGGGAATTTGGCGTTGGTAGACGGGACAAAGTTGTCAGAGGTAACGTGGGGGATTTTGCCTGCTACGCTTAAATCGTTCATTTCTTTGGCGGTTGTTATTACGCTGTTGTTGCGACGGTTAACGGGAATGTCTTTCTCGTCTTGTTTTTCTTTCCTTTTTACTAGATTGTCACCGAGTAGGGGATCACAAAATTTGGTTCGATTTTTGGCATTGCTCAAGTAAGTCCTTTTGCTTTTAAGGGTTGTTAGCTCTATTAGAGGGGTGTTGTCGCAGATGGGTAAGTAATCACGGACGTCAAACCGTTTCTCCGGCGGAGAGATTATTTTGATATCTTCTTCTTCATCCTCTTCCATGGTCAAATCTATAAGCATCTTCGGATTTGGATCTACGGGCAACTTTACCATGGGAAGTTGTTCATGATGTACAGACATGATTTTAGGAGTGGGTGTGGGGAGAGTATGAAGGGCAGTAGTCTTGGGTGATAACCGAATCAGCTTAATTTTGGGTTTTATCTTGTTGAAGGTTGGCTTGCTGTACTTTTTCTTGATGGCCAAACTGGGACTTCTATTGAGAGGTTTGAAGGAAGGAGGCGAGATAGTCTTGGAAGATCTACGATTGTGGAGTATAATATTGTTTGGGGATTGATTAGAGATTCTAGACGATATTCTTCTCTCAGCATGGACCTTGTCCTTTGGAAAAGCCCGTCGGCCCATAGAGCTATTAATATTGCGGGAATTGGAAATAAGGGATGCTGGTTTATGGCAACACAATGAAGTTGGGGTTTGGTGATCATTGCACCATCCATATATTCTTTCGGTGTAAAAACAACAGTTACATATGGAAACATGGTGAGGTGAGTTTATATTGTTTAAGATGGGATGCAAGCCATTAGTTTTAAATAAGGTAGTATCACTATGTGAAGAATAATATTCTGAATTGTAATAATCCCAATATTCTAAAGATGTTTTGACCACTATAGAGTGAATAGATTCTTTTATAAGGGGTATAATGGTACTTTGGAATTGAGAGTTGGATTTGTGGATGGTGTCAAATTTACTACTATATTTATTTTCCATTTTGCGCAAGTATATCCTATCTCTTGCATTTAGACAAAAAGATTCAGCTGATAATTTAGTCAGGCACACCTCAGGATCCAATCTTTTGTGCAGATGGGCTAGAAATTTGAGTGTATAGGAAGCAGACCTTTCACCAATTTCGGGATGAGATGGGAATGCATTTTTTGAAAGGCAGTCATAAGTAAAAGGATTGTAACAAAATTTGTAAGCATAGGATTGGGGTGTATTAAGTTTGCCACTATTGGTTGAAATATTGGATGGCATTTGGTCATGAGGCAAAATAATTGGGGTTGATAATGGTAAAGGTTTTACCGGCACTTTTTTTGTCAAATAATAATCATAAAAATTGGTGATAGACCTAAGCAGGGTGGGGTTAGTCGGTTTTCCTTGACTGTAAATATGAGAATATCTGTTGTATAAATTGACCATCTTTAAAATGTTATTATTATATGAATTTGTATTTGTGAGAAAGTTTGTATTCCTTTTATGATTATTTTGATTATTAAATGTTTGTTGAGGATTTAAAAGGGTTTGATTAAATGGAACTGACTGGGGTTCAGAATCTTTATTTACATCAGGCATATCATAATAATACTTTTCGCAATATTTTTCATATCTAGCACAATTTAAATGTAAAAGGGGCTGCTTCATCTTGTGAATCATTTTCAATGTTGAGAAAAGTTGTTTAACTATTTTTTGTTCAGGAGCTTTTAAAAGATGTTTAAATAATTGGTGAGCATTTGAATATAAGTCTAAAACTTCATAGAATTTGAGATATTTATCAAATTTTTGAAAATGTAAAAGGGCTGTGAGATAACTGTTTAGTAAAAAGCGTGGTTCTTTGATCATATTAATTAAACATAATAAATGTAGTTTATCAGAATTGTTGGCATTTGGGTTTTTATTAATATTCTGTGATTCAGGTTGTTTCAGCCATATTGGAGAATGTGGGAATAATGATAATAAATTATCGTATTTGAAATCTGTATTAAATATAATGGCATTTTTATTATCATTTATAAAGGAATCAACTGGATCTAATATATTATATGGTAAATTGTTGCCAACATTAATATTTTTGTTTGTATCAAAGCAATTTGTATTTTGATCAATTTGTAAGATATTTGTGGTATATATATGATTTGAATTATTTAATTCTTTAAAACCAATTGTAGATTTAGAATTTAATTTACTTTTGGGTAGAATTTTATCAAAATTTTGAATATTTGGCAAAATATCATTTCTGTGATTATGAGAATTTTTAATAGATATCAAACCAATGGATTCAAGAAAGCATTCCTTATTATTTTGAATTTTATGCAAGTGGCCTGAATATACATTTTCTGATATTCTTACATTTTTTATATATTTCAAATGACATTTTGGCAAATGTTGGTCAAAATCTATGTCAGAATAAAAGAATTCATAGCATTCAGTACATATGTGTTGAGGTTTGGAAATTTTATCTAAATAATTTTAAAACACATAATTAGCATTATATAGAATTGATATAAAATTATTACTTGTTTTTGTTAACTTTTTTAGCATTTTCTTATCATTATCCTAAATAGAATTTTATCAAAGTATAAATAAAAAGTTATTTACATATGGCAAAGCAAATGCAGTGATCTTGGTTTTATTTCTCAGGGGGTAAGACATTTAAATCCTAAATATAGTAATAAACATTATTAATTTGATTTTCGGAATTTATTCATATAATATATTTTTATTTATAAATTTCAATCATATTGTGAATATACTTATATATATATGAAATATCATATATTTATATTTAATTATTACGTTATAAAATTTTTATATTAATAACGATGTTTTAAAATAAAAGTATATAATAAATAAGTAAGATAGCATATATCAAATTATAAGTTCTATTAGGCTAAAATGTATTTACTTTTAACTATTAAACTATATTATATAATTATTTATAAATTTTAATCATATTATGAATATACCTTTTTATATATGAAATATAATATTTTTATTATTCTGTTATAAAATTTTTATATTAATAACGATATTTTAAAATAAAACTAAATAAATTAGTAAGATAACATATATCAAAATATAAGTTGTATTAGGCAATAAAAATGTATTTACTTTCAACTATTAAACTATAATATATAATTATTTATAAATTTTAATCATGAATATTCTTTTTATATATGAAATATCATTTTATATTTAATTATTCCGTTATAAAATTTTTATATTAACATTTTAAAATAAGACTAAATTCTAAATTAGTAAGATAACATATATCAAATTATGTATTAGGCAATAAAAATGTATTTACTTTCAACTATTAAACTATAATATATAATTATTTATTTGATTGTAAATTAATAATATAATGTATTAGTAATATTTATAGAGGGCGTTAATAATTTGCACATTTGTTCAATGCAAATTATTTGTTATTTACATATAAAATTTATAATAAAAAAAATAATTAAACAATTTAGATAGATTTTAATATAGAATAATATCGAGTTTTAAAAATTTAGATAATTTTATTACGTAGGGATGGACTAGAATGATAGAATCTTATACTGTATTCATAGTTCGGCGAAATGTATAATAATTAGTTAAATTATTATATTTATATCATATTTTTATACTTCACCTGAATTGGCATATCTGTGAATGTATGGTTACGAATATATTTATAAATATGGATTTATATATATAATATTATTTTAAATTTATTTATTATAAATTATAACTGACTACTAACCTAATAAATTATATATATATATTTTAAAAAGTAAATAACAATTAATGTAATTATTATATTAATATTGTATTAAGTGAAAGAGGTAAATAATAAGTCCGTAAGGTAAAATTTAAGTTAATATTATTCAAATATATTAACATTCCTCCCTCTGTTCTTTCTTCAGTATAGTGCGGGTAATGTTCGTTATAGTTAAAAAAGAAAGTAACATGCTATATATTAATCCAAATTAATAAAAATTACTGAAAGGAGGATTATAAAATAAAATAAATGGATAAGAGAAATATACATTACATTAAAAATTACATTAAATAATGTGAAAATCCCAAAAGAATAAAATATACATTAATAAAATAGAGTTCTAGAAATTTGGAAATATTAATAAAATAAAGAAATATAGACCGGAAGTAAATAAAATTTAAAAGAATAATTAAAAATAAATTTGTTAATTTTATTAATTTTATTAATTTTAGTTTATAGATATATAAATGATAAAATTAAAATTGACCATTATATTACACAAAACAAATATACACATGAATAACAATAATTTATTAGGGGTTAATATATTATTTTATGAATAAAACTTGTGATACCTTGGTTTTATATCTAATATGTATATATCTCATAGCAGGCAATATTTAAGTTAACTTTAAAAATCGGGTTACTCCTGGATGGATTTAAACCTAGGTCGAAGCTTATAATGATTGTCAAGATCTCTAGGTTCTGAACAACACACGCTATTCGTGAACAACGATTTTAGTATAAGAATAATCTAGACTTGTATAATATTTATATAAAATACATATAATTATATAATGTTCGATATATAACAATGAATATGTGTCCAAATAACTAACAAAATTTAATATTTTTAATATCCTAAAACCTCACTTAAAAAATAAATTTTTATAGTTACAATATCTGAATATAGAATTTTATGTATAAAAAGAAAGAAAGATTTGAACTGGTCAAAAGATATGCAACCTGGTAGGATTATTGCTCTCAAATATTTTTATAAACCATAGTTGGATATTAGGAGTTCGGATTCGTAACAATCTTGAATATCTACTACACTATTATAATATTTTTTTTTAAAACAATGTAGCCCAATGGCGTCGCTAGGGGGGTGGAGGGAGCGCAGGGGCTCGAGTCCCTGAAAAATTTGAATAGTCCCCCTGAAGCAAAATTTTTTAAAAGCTCCTTAATATCCCCTTGAACTAAAAATAAATTCTTTTGATTGCCCACTGAATGATTTCTTTTATAATTCCATAAAGTAATATATAGATATAATTTTATTATTTAGAAAATAAAACTATTTAAATTTTTATTAAATGAATATTATTTTAATTATTAGATTAGATTAAAACATATAAATAATATTTTCACTATGTCAGCTTGCAATCAAATTCTGTATTAAAAATATAATATCAATAACTCACTAAATATTACGCTTTAACAGTTGAAGTTTAATTGACTTTTATTATTTAAATTATTATTTAACCCTAATTAAATATATATAATCATATATTATTTAAAAATTAACAAATTTAATATTGGAATTAGCCGAGTTCAAAATGACTAATCAACTGTATATTTATTCATTTTAATATCATACCTTAAAAATATTATCAAGGTCGTAGATATATAGTTTATAATCCTCTACTATATACAGTTGTTTATAAAATATTAGATATAATGCCACTTTTATAGATTTGACAGTTATATAAATATTACAGTTAATATTATAATAAATTTTACTAATAAATGGTTTTAATAATAAATATAATAACAAATTGCATTCAAGTATTTAACGCCATCTATTTAGATATAAATATATTTAAAAATTAAACACTTTATTATTCATCCTGCAATAGATGTAATAAATTTGATATCTTTTCTACTCTTTTTTTACGTGTTTTTAGGAAAGCTATTTTTTTCTTATTCGAAAAACAGTCTTGAGTTAAATTTTTAATACAAGTATATTTTTGATATTATTACAAACTACTATTATTTTAAGATATAATAAATCAAGGTGGTACTACAATGTGTAAAATCTTAATTGTTTCTTCATATCATTCTGGTCCTTATTTTATAGTTAGAATTTCTAATATGGCATTGCCGTATAAATAACACCAGGCTTCAATATATTTGCATAATTATTTCTTCCAAAGATTTTTAGTGTTTTTATTTTATCAATTTATCCAACGTAATAAATTCTGATAGTTTACATCGTGAGTGTCATGGCTATTACTGCAAATTAACCAGCATCTATTATTGTGCTATGTAATTTAAGATTATTACTATACGGCTGAGAGCATATAATTGCATATTTTAGATAAACAATAATGGTCAACTGTGTAGTCGTTTATATATCATTTAAAATGGAAGATAATCTTTTAGAAATTTAATATCTCACAATAATTTTCTCGATTGCATATCTAGCTTCCATCATGTCATCTAAGAGGAAGCTCTAACCACCATAGAGTTTTATGATTTGGATTGGTCGTTTATACTCTCTCCTTCAAAAATTGTTGATTGGGTTTAGGCCAATATTTCCTTATTAGTCCATTCTATAAAACATTGTCTAAAATGGTAACAGAGAGCTATACTAGTTTGATAACTTTTTGTCAGTGTAAGTTGTTAAGAATTATATATTGCATTATGTGTCGTTTTTTATATGCCAGTTTATTTTGTATGCATAATATAATAAATGACAAAATATGAAAATCAGAATAATTATTCAGAGTTAGCAAATTTTATAAAAGTATAATATATTAATATAAAACCCGGCTGAAGGCCCGCAAATTGGAAAGTATGGGGGCGAAGCCCCCCAGAAATTTTTTTAGTTGAGCCCCCTAAGATTATGAAGGCTAGCGACGTCCCTGATGTAGCCCCACACCTGGTATAATCCTACTGGCGCCCTGATTTAATAATAATTATAAAAATATATCATTCTTATATTCTCCATTTATTATAATGTTTTGACTATGGATAATATATTTAGTTGTGGATTTATTATATTTTTTTAATGTGTAAAATTAATATAATTATGATTTTGTTATATATGATTTGGGATAATAATTCAGTTGTTATTTATTTTTTTCACTTATTTTTTGTTGTTGAAAGGTGTCACTATCCTTTACAATCTTAAGGGGTTTATAAAAAATTTTGAATTATTTTTAAAATTACATTCATTTTTTTTAAATTTTGAGGGGACTCTTCAAATTTTTCAGGGGGCTATGGTCCCCCTCCAGTGACACTACAGGTTGAACTTGTTCAATTAATTTTCTTTTCCAAATTTATCGGTGCCGTAAAATGTTTTTTTTTATTTGTCAGCAACATGGTTAAGGGATGTAACACAAAATAAACTTTCCCTATAGCTTCTCCAATTTTTAAAATGTGTTTTTTTGATTAAATAATTATGGTTTTGTTTATATTTTACTACTATATTTTTTCCTCATGGTCAATAAATCATAATTGTGTTTAGCTTTTGTATGTATGCTCTCATTCTCAATCATTATCGATCATAGGCGTAGCCAGGATTTTCCTAAGGGGGGGGGTTAAAAATTAATGGGGGCTTCGCCCCCAGACAGCTTTTGCCGGGCCTTCAGCCGCGTTACCTTAGTCTATATTTAGTCATAAAATATTTTTATAAAATAAAAGGTTAATTTTAATAAAAAATAAGTCTGGAACAAATATGAAATATATTTTTATTCGTTTATCTGAAATATAATAAATTACTTGTATATACATTTATATAAAAGCATGGTAATAATTTATTCCAAAAAGTATTAGAAATTTATTTATAAAAAGTAAGTCGACATATAGTTGATATTCCTCTATTTTATGGAATAGTTACAAAATACTAGGTAAAATTCAACTTTTATAGACATATTTGACAGTTAGAGAATATATTACAGTCAATTATATAACATCATCTTTTTATTTTAAATAAA